TCCATTCTGCTACTCTCTGTCTCTTAACTGGTGCATTCAATCCATTGATTGCCATTCAATGTAATTGTCGGTAGGTGTGAATTGATTGTAGTCATTTTGCTGTCTGTTTTTGTGAGGTGGTGCTGTTTTCTTTGTTCTGCATGCTTTTCTGTGCAGAGTTCATCTTAAAAATCTTTTTCTTGTTCATTTCTTAAGAGTTTTAATGTTTATAAAATCTTCATGGATATTCCTTTTCTTGATTTGATGTAAAGTTTCTTTGCAGTTACCCTGTACTTTATTAATTTCTTCCCCATTTTAGAACAATCTGTTTTATCTTGAAATTTACCTGGCCTCTCACTACCTGGAAATCTGTAACTATACTTTTCCCTTTCTTCACTTTGTAGTTGTCCTGATCATAGACTGACATCCCAGATTCCCTCTTTTCAGTCTTGTAGTTTTGTTCTACTCTGAACACTTCCATATCTGGACTGAATTCTATGTGGTGTAGCCATGTAAGTCATTCTCTGTTTTGTTTGTTTGTTTTGTCTGCTCTTGTTGGTTCTCAATCCAAAGAAGTCCCTTTAGTATATTTTGGAGAGTTGGTTTGGCTGTTACAACGTGCTTTAATTTCTGTTTATCTGCAAATGTTCTAATTTTGCTGCCATATTTTATGGACAGCTTTGCTGAGTATATGATTCTTGGTTGGCAGTTTTGTTTTTGTTTTTCTTTCGGAGTTTTGCATATGCTTCCCCTTTGCCTTCTTGTCTGTATGGTTTCTCCTGAGAAAAGCAGAATTTAATCTGACTGGTTTTCCTTTGTAGGTAACGTTTCTTTTTTCCCGAGCTGCATTCAGGATTCTTTCCTTGTCTTTGATTTTTGAGAGTTTGATTATGATATTTCTTGGTGATTTTCTTTTGGGATCTTTCCTGCCTGGGGTTTGTTCAGCTTTTTTTTTTTTTTAATGTTTTATTGTGAATTATATGATAGTTTACATGGGAGAACATTAGCTTTACATTCATCCTATTGTATATCATTTCATTGTCATGGTTACAATCCCCTCCATGCATCATCAATCAACCAAAAAGTATACCCTGCAAGCCTGTCCCTGGTCATCAGCACACAGCCCCTCTCCATCTCTGGGTCTAAAGTCCCCAGCAGCTCCATCTCTCCACGTTATTGTCTCTGCCTCCATCTCTGGTGTCACTGCTTCTCTGGGTTGTTCAGCTTCTTGAATACTTTTTGTTGTTGTTGTTAAGTGCCATCAAGTCGATTTTGATTCATAGTGACCCTCTACAGGGTTTCCAAGCAGCAACTGGTGAGATTTAACTGACGACTTTAATGGTTAGCAGTTCAGTACTTCTCTACAGTACCACACCAAGATATTATATGATCACAGACAACATTATACATCAAGATAGATAATGAAATATATTTATAGATGATGAATACAATGTCATTCCTCTAAAATTTGTAGTTCCCAGCATAGTATGTCATATGATTGTCTAGTTCAGAATGGCCAATATCAGTCCATTTCATATTAGTTTTTATGTATTGTATTTCATTTTTCAGTTTACAATTTTTCTTGAGTTATGCTTCTTACATTCTGTGTTCTGATTATTAATGGTTGTTTGTAGCTGTTTCTTCTCATTTTGGGTTGTGCCCTATCAGCAAATGAATGACCTGAAAACTTTTATTCCATTTACGTCATGATCAACTCTACTTTGAGGATGCAGCTCTTCCCCAATCATATCTTTGTTATTGTTGTTGTTAGGTGCCATCGAATCGGTGTTTACTCATAGCAACCTTTTGCACAGCAGAACAAAACACTGCCCGATCCTGGGCCAACCTCACTACTGTTGCCACGCTTGAGTCCATCTATGCTGCCACTTGGTCAATCCATCTCTTTGGGAGTCTTCCTCTTTTTCTCTGACCCTCCACCTTATCAAACATGATATCCTTCTCCAGTGACTGGTACCTCCTGACAATATGTCCGAACACTTAGCACCTTCCAATTTGAGGGGCCCATCTACCATCGCTATATCTAATAATGTTTTGCTGTTGTTCATAAAGTTTTCAGCAGCTAATAATTTAGAAGTAGTCTGCCTCTCCTCCTCCTTAGTCTGTCTCAGTCTGGAATCTCTGCTAAAAACTGTCCACCATGGTTGACCCTGGTGATATTTAAAGTACTGTTGGCATAGCTTCCAGCATCACAGCAACATGAAAGCCTCTACAGTATGACAAACTGACTGATGAGTGGTGGATAAGAGCAGATACCCTCATCTCTTTTCTATATAGTAACTGGTAAGTTTGAATGGCTGACCTTGTGGTTAGCCACCTATTGCTTAGCCCACAGCACTACCACAGCTCCTTCATGCACAGTAAGGGACTGGTTAAATAAATTATGGTTCATCTATGTGATTATGGAGTCTTGGTGTGGGGATGTGGGCTAGTGCACTGGACTGCAAAGTCTGTTTAAACCACAAGGTCGGCGGTTAAAATTCACCAGCCACTCCTTGGAAACCCTAATACAGGGTCACTATGGATAGGAACTGACTCAACGGCACTTAACAATAAGAAGAACATGTGATTATATATTATGAAATCATTAAATATGTTAATATATTATCTTTAAATATGTTAAATAAATTTGTAACACTACAGGAAATGTTCCCAGTATAAAGTGGGGGGGGGGGCATGAAATGTATTTAAATATAAAATATTATTTTACCTGTATATAACTAATACATTTTAAATAGAGACATATATAAAATAATTTTAAATGTTTACTGTGCTTACTGTGCTTATTTCCAGGCAGTGAGATTATGGATGATTGTTTTCTTTATTTTCCACTTTTCCACAATGGGCATGTATTTACTTTATAATGGAAAAAAAAAAAAAGGAAGCAACAGATAAATGGAGGTGGCGGGGGGGAGATGAAAAATCAAGAAAGTAGCTTGTATCTACCTAATGAATGGGAATGCATGGGGAACCTCAGATTTATTGTTGGTGAAAACATACAGCTCTAGAATGACAGGAACCATTACTAGAAATCTTTATTTTTTTTTTATATATGTTAAGTGCCATTGAGTCAGTTCCAACACATTAACAACCCTGTGTAGGGTTTCCTAGGAGCAGCTGGTGAGTTTGAACCACCAGCCTTGTGCTCCAGTGCATTATCCTACAGTGCCACTAACATTTAGATGAAGGTGAGTCAAATTATCTGCACTCCAGTTACATTAAAACACCCACCCATGTCCACAGCTGATGACAACATTGAGTGTGCATGTGAAATGAATCTGTCGAGTAGGCATGTGATAGTGGACTATGTGGCAAATCATTTGCAAATCAGCCATGGCTCTCCCTATGAAATAATCTAAGACAGACTTAGGTTTCTAAAGGTTTGTGCTAGATGGGTACTGAAACAACTCACAAAAGAGCATAAACAGAAGCATTTGAACATAGGCAAATAAATTTGGACCGGTACTTGAAGGAAGGTAAAAGTTTCTTTAAAAAATCATTACTGGTGACATGACTTGGATTCATCACCACAAACCTGAGAGTAAATGGCAGATTATAGACTGGAAAAATCCTCAATAGCCAACCAAGAAAAAGTTCAAAAGTCAGCCATCAGCTGGAAAATTGATGCTTACAGTTTTCTGGAATTCTCAAGGGCCTGTATTAGAATACTATCAGGAAAGTGGTTCAACAATCAACAGTGCTCAGTACAGTGAGATGCTCATTAAACACCTGAAGCCTAAATTTGAGATTAAACGCAGAGGGCTATCCAAGACCAGTGTAATATTGCATGACAATGCATGTCTACACACCTCTCTGCTCACACTGTTGACACTGTAAAAACTTAATTTTGAGGTATTAAAGCATCCTCCCTATAGTCTTCATCTTGCTCCATTGGACTTTCACCTGTTTGGTCCCCTGAAAGCAGCCCTTCAAGAATGAAGATTCACCTCTAATAAAGAAGTGAAGACAGTGGTGCTTTCGTGGCTCACAGCTCAGCCTAAAACATTTTTTAAATAAGGGAATATGAGACTTTGCTGGCAGGTAGACAAAGTATATTGAAAAGCAAGGAGATTATGCCCAAAACCCTGATACATTTATCTTTTCTAAAAGTGGATTAAAATACATTCGATAGCCAGAGTGCTGATAATTTATGACTCATCTCATATCTTTTTCCTTTTAAACAGGTCAGAGCTTTTCTAAACTGTTTTGCCAATGTAGACCTATTCAACATTTTATCTTATGGGAATAACTGGAGTAATTTTTGCTTCATGCTCATATTAGTTTTTAGACATTCTTTCACAAAATTAATAGCTATTTTTAAGTATACATGAGCAAACTGGTGACTCGCCAGAGCACTAAAATGCTTTTGAGAAATATTTTCTTGGCCTGAATCTACCTGTTGGCATTAATTATGTTGTTAAGTGCCACTGAGTCAGTGCTGATTCATAAGAACTACTTACAGGGTTTCCAAGGTAGGTTTGAACTGCTGACTAGTGGTTAGGAGTCAAGTGCTTATCCTGCAGCGTTGGGAAATGTCTTTACTCTTCACCAACCACAGTGACTTAAATGTATGCATTTATTTAGTGGATTTTGATATTTTCTTAAATACTAATGAAGATATTTTGAAGAAAAAAGAAAGTACCTCGTAGTTCTGTAGATATTTTGAGAAACCTGAATTGTGTAGATTTTAACCTTGCTTCAATGTAATTACTGAGGTCTTTGTGGAGTCCTGGTGTGGTGCTTTAGGATAAGCACTGGATTGCTAACAGCAAGGTCCACAGTTCAAATGCACTAGGTGCTCCTCAGAAAACCTATACAGGCTCACTGTGAGTCAAAACTGACTCTGTGACACTTTACAACAATGTGTGGTTATAGGTGAGACCCCATTATAGCAATATTTCTGGTAAGTAAGCGCTTCGGGATGGAACCTGTGACAGGCCTATAATTGTAATAAATCCTATCTTTTGCCTACCCTCGGTGACCTTTTTTGTGTTACTTTCCAGGTGGAGTGACTCGGATGACGGTTTCTCTTGTTGTCATAATGTTTGAACTAACTGGTGGCTTGGAATACATTGTGCCTCTAATGGCTGCAGCTATGACAAGCAAGTGGGTGGCAGATGCTCTTGGCCGGGAGGGCATCTATGATGCCCACATCCGTCTCAATGGATACCCCTTTCTTGAAGCCAAAGAAGAGTTTGCTCATAAGACTCTGGCAATGGATGTGATGAAACCCCGGAGAAATGATCCTCTGTTGACTGTCCTTACTCAGGACAGTATGACTGTAGAGGATGTAGAGACCATTATCAACGAAACCACTTACAGTGGCTTTCCAGTAGTAGTGTCTCGGGAGTCCCAAAGACTTGTGGGTTTTGTCCTCCGAAGAGATCTCATTATTTCAATTGGTAAGGAATTTCAGAAAGGGGACAATGGAATCAGTTAGTAAATAAATATGCATGAAATAGGGGAAGTGGGGAGTGGTTAGGGCCTGAAGGCTAAAACAAGCACTTCCATGTTCAACTTTTTTCCCCTCTCACTTTTCATATAGAAAATGCTCGAAAAAAACAAGATGGGATTGTGAGTACTTCCATCATTTACTTCACTGAACATTCTCCTCCAATGCCACCATACACTCCACCCACCCTGAAACTTCGAAACATCCTGGATCTCAGCCCCTTCACTGTAACAGATCTTACACCCATGGAGATTGTAGTGGATATTTTCCGCAAGCTGGGACTGCGTCAATGCTTAGTGACACACAATGGGTGAGAACTCTTTTGGAAGAGACATTGATTTGTGAAAGAAAAAAGGGTATAGTGAAAAGAAGGATAACTCAATTTAAATGAACATTGGTGGTGATGGTGAGCCTTGGAGTCGGTTCTAACTCATAGCGACCCTGGATAGGGTTTCCTAGGCTGTAAATCTTCACAGGAGCCAAAAGCCTCATCTTTCTTCTGTAAAACGGCTGGTAGTTTCCAACTGCTGACCTTGAGGTTAGCAGCCCAACTCGTAACCACTTCGCTACCAGAGCTTCTAAATTAATATTAGTAGCACATATAAACCTTTTAAGGAGCCCTGGCAGCATAGTGGGTTATGAGTTGGGCTGAAAACCACAAGGTCAGCAGTTCAAATCTACCAGGAGAAAGATGCAGCTTTCTGCTCCTGAATTTACAGCCTCGGAAACCCTGTACAGGGTCGTCATGAGTCAGAATTTATTCCATGGCTCTTAATAACTTAATAACAACATAGACCTTTTGAGAAGCCCTGGTGGAGCATGGTAACGCACTTAGCTGCTAACTGAAAGGTTAGTGGTTCAAATTCACCAGCTGCTCTTCAGGAGAAGGATGTGGCAGTCAGCTTTCATAAAGATCATTTCCACAGCTTTGGCAACCCTGTGGGGCTGTTCTGCTCTGTCCTATGGGGTTGCTGTGAATCCGAGTCATCTCAATGGTGATGAGTTGGGTTTATGAGTATTTTGAAGCTTTCAAATGAAGGTGAATGTATTTCTTTTATCATCGTAAATAATAGAAAAGATGTTTGGAAAAGAAAGTATGTTTGAGAGCTGTCAACTGCTGGTTGCCCATTATAAATAAGCTTGCCCCTCCCCTCCAAAGGAAACAGCTGTGTTCTTTTGAACAGGTAGCACTAAAATTTTAATGGTGATACAGGCTATCCTGGGATTATAAATGAGATCCATTTCTAAGTGTCTTAAGTCGAATTTGTAGGTAAGTTGGAACAGGTGCATATGGTTCTTTAGTGTAACAAAAGACTTGAAGCCTTTACAGTCGTCTCAAGCTGCCTGTACTGCTAGTGAAGGGGATTATGATGAAGAATTTGTTGTGAGTAGTGGTTCAGTTGCTTCAATTTGAGGGCACATTTACCTAACATTAAAGGGCTAGTAGGAGTCATCTGCAGTATTCCGGTTGGATTTTTTTGAGGGTGAGAAAACCAGGTTTCAGTGAGGTTTAATGATTTGCACAAGTGCCCCTAGTTAATCAGTAGTAGAGAGGGCAGTTTTTCATGTTAGTCATCTGGGGTGCCTAAGTCACACTCCAGACCAATTTTATTAGAATCATCGCAGGATTTATTTATATAGTTATTTTAGCATTTCTACTTACTTTTGTTGCTGGTGTTACATAGAGGTAGGCTTTAAACACACATCTTGCAACTCCCAGAGCCTAGACTCTCTTCTTTCTGGGATCCCCCTCCCTCCCCTCTTTTAATGGAGTTTGGTTGAAAACTTACAAAGCAAATTAGTTTTCCATTCAACAATTTATAAACATTGACTCTAGTCCCCTCATTATAACAGCACTCTTCCCACATTCTCTCCGGATTCCCCACTTCTATTTCTGCCCCTTCCTGCCCTCTGAACATTGTTTTGGGGCAAATGCTGCCCTTTTGGTCTAGTATGGTTGAATGCATTGAGGAGTACATTCCTCCCTGGTGTTACTCTGTTTGACTGGAGTCCTGGGGTGGTGCTGTAGGTTAAGTATAAGACTGCTAACTGCAAAGTTGGTCGTTCAGACCCACCAGTCACTCCTTGGAAACCATATACAGGGTTGCTATGAGTCAAGAAAATTCAAGCCTCGACTTTCGTTATTGGAAGATTCACTGGGCAAATGATTGAATGATGCAGAAAGCATCAAGAGAAGATGGAAGAAAGAGACAGAGTCACAGTACCAAAAGAAAATGGTTAATATTCAACCGTTTCAAGAGGCAGCATATGATCAAAAGCCAATGATATTCAGGGAGGAAGTCCAAGGTGCATTGAAGAAATTGGCAAAGAACAAGGCACCAGGAATTGATGGAATAAAAATTGAAATCTTTCAAGAGAGTGAGGCAGCACAAGAGGCACTCACTCATCTTTGCCAAGAAATTTGGAAGACAACTATCCGGCCGACTGATTGGAAGAGATCAATGTTTGTGCCCATTCCAAAGAGAGGTGGCACAACAGAATGCGGAAATCATCGGACAATCTCTTTGATATCTCAAACGAGTAAAGTTTTGCTAAAGGTAATACAGAAACGGCTACAATCATACATTGACAGAGAACTTCCAGAGGTTCAAGCCGAATTCAGAAGAGGCCGTGGAACGAGGGATATCATCGCTGATGTCCGATGGATCTTGGCTGAAAGCAGAGAATATCACAAAGATGTTTACCTGTGCTTTATTGACTATGCAAAAGCTTCCAATTGTGTGGATCATGGCAAGCTATGGACAACATTGTGAAGTATGAGTATTCCTGAACACTTTTAATTGTGCTCATGAGGAATCTGTATCTGGACCAAGAAGCAGTTGTTTGAACAGAACATGGGAACACTGAATGGTTTAAAATTTTTAAAGGTGTGTGAAAATTGCATTCTTTCACCATACTTATTCAACCTGTATGCTGAGCAGATAATCCGAGAAGCTGGGTTCTATGAAGAAAAACGTGGCATCAGGATTGGAGGAAGACTCATTAACAACCTGCGATATGCAGATGATACAACCTTGCTTGCTGAAAGTGAAGAGGACTTGAAACATTTACTGATGAAGATCAAAGAGCACAGCCTTTGGTATGGATTACATCTCAATGTAAAGAAAACAAAAATCCTCACCACTGGACCAATAAACAACATTCTTATCAATGGAGAAAAGATTGAAGTTGTCAAGGGCTTCGTTCTTTTTGGATCAACTATTAACACTCACGGAAGCAGCAGTCAAGAAATCAATGACATATTGCAGTAGGCAAATCTGCACAAGACCTTTTTAAAGTGTTGAAGAACAAAGATGTCAGCTTGAGGACTAAGGTGAGCCTGACCCAAGCCATGGTATTTTCAATAACCTCATATGCATGCAAAAGCTGGACGGTGAATAAGGAAGACCGTAGAAGAATTGATGCTTTTGAGCTTTTGTTGCTTTTGTTGGAGGAGAATATTGAAAGTGCCATGGGCTGCCAAAAGAACCAGTAGATCCATTTTGGATCTCCTTGGAGGCCAAGATGGCCAAACTTCATCTCTCATACTTTGGCCATATTGTCAGGAGGGACGAGTCGCTGGAGAAGGTTATCATGTTTGGTAAGGTGGAGGGTCAGAGAAAAAGTGGAAGACCCCCAACGAGATGGATTGGCCAAGTGGCAGAATTGATGGACTCAAGTGTGGCAACAGTAGTGAGGTTGGCCCAGAATCAGGCAGTGTTTCGTTCTGCTGTGCAGAATAAGGTTGCTATAGGTTGGTACTGACTCAATGGCACCTAACAACAACAACATGAGTCGGAACCTACTTGACTGTTCTTAACATCAACAACAACATTGTTTGACTGAAAGTTGATCCCTGGGGATGGGTTCAGTTCCAGGATTTAGGGGTGTCTAAGGGCTACGTCTTAGCGACTCTACCAGTCTTTATCAGATCAGTAAATCTGGTTTTATTTCTTATCCAGCAGTTACATAAGAATTTTACCTTCCTCTAAAATTTCTAAATAATATAATAGGTCTCTTGTAGGATTTAAGTCAGAAAAGGTTCATTCAATATTTACTGAATCTTTATTTCATGTAAGAAGACATTGTACTAGATTATGAGAGAGACAAAATTGAGTAAGGCCTTTCTCTACCCTCAAGGAGTGGAGTATACAGTGTTAGAGGGAGACTAACAATGCACAGTTGATTATAGTACAATAGCAAATAGGTCAGGTGCTATAGAAGAGGTACACAAAAAAAGACCCTGTTGCTGGGAGGATGGTGAAGGTACTTCTGGCTTGTAGGATCTGAGAAGGTGTTCTGGAAGAGAGGCTGAACTGCAAATGGCAAGTAAGAGATATATATGTTAGGAAGAATATATAAACCCGAGGAAATTGTCCTATTTGGGTGATCAAGTATTGTCTCTTCATTTTATTTATAAGTGCAGCTAGTGTTCAAAGACAAAGTTGTAAAAGGCGCAGGAGTAAAAGTGTCATCTTTGGAAATATTATTTTAGCTTCAGATTTGTTCTTATTTTGATTTACTCTGTTTTGTATTTTAGGCGATTGCTTGGAATCATTACCAAAAAGGATGTGTTAAAGCATATAGCACAGATGGCGAACCAAGATCCTGATTCCATTCTCTTCAACTAGAATTGCAGTGCTGTGCTGGCTGTAAAATCAGAAGGACATTGCAAACCCCAATGGATATAGTTTATTAACTGAGTACCCAAAACACATTTCCAATATTTGGATGGTGAAGTAATATTAGCGTGTTGTCTCTTTCCTACAGGTTAACCAGTTGCACTACATAATCTCTGCAAATTAATCTTCTTTTCAGGAGAAAATACTGTTAGGCTTCTGTGATACTCTATTAGGAAGATTTCATGAAAGTAGAGGAAGATTGCTGTGGTTCAATTTGATTTTTTTTAACCTTAAAAAATAGTTGTTAGCCAATATGCAATCATTGTAAACTATGCAAGAAAGATTCTAACCATCCTGACCTGTAGCCTTCATGAAACTCGTGAAAAAAAAAAGTCAACTGTTTTTGAGCTCTAACTCATTGGTGGAAGATGAAGTGCAAATTAAGGGACTTTGCTTTTCCAACCATATAAAGGAAAGCCAGAAAATAGTAATGGTATTTTCTAGACTGTGAAGATTCAGTTCAAATGTTATCTTTTTCCTGTTACAATATTTAGCGTTATTAGTTTTGTATGTGTATATGTTCATTTTTAAATTTCTGATTATAAGACAATGCTGCTTGGTTAATCTCCTCTAAATGAATTTAGAGAGGTTGACTTTTATAGCTTGCTTGTTCCTGGTACTCTGTTGAAGTGCACAAAGATAAGTTATAGAGCTTTCTGCTTGTCTGCAAAAAGGATAAATTGCAGATGGTATTTGTTAGCTAGCAGACAAGGGCTTTGCCACGAACTTGTTCATAACAAGGAATAATTTCTTTCCGATTTCCTTGAAATGAATGTTTAGTAAAGTTCTAAGCAAAGTCACTGACTAGGAATTTCACATTTTTGTGAGATCCCAACTAATCCTCTTACTCAGAGGCCACCTCCATGAATGATGGTGCTTAAGGCTTCTGGAACAGTAAAGGGAACTAAGTCTAGACTGCAAACTGATAAACCAGGGAAGATCCAGCGCTACATCTGCATTCCTTTGTAAAGACCACCAGTAGTAAAATAACTGGATACTCACACCTCCTCCAAGCATTAAGTATGTACAACAGGCCAGTGTTGTTCCCCATGAACAAGAAGTAGGCTTGGGGTACTTTCAAATATATTCAAGATATTGGAACAGGCTAGGTAGCTGTGACTCCCTCGAGGCTCCTTACAGTTCTAAATACAATGCAGAGCCATTATAAGACCCAGGGTATGGAAAGGGCCTGGTGACACCAAAGGTGCTTCCATCCAATTGAAAAGGTGCCAGTGTCAATACCCTCCCACCTTTACTGCACTATATGGACACCTGGTGGGATTACCAAGTCAACCACCATCATTCCTACCACTAGTTTTATTTTCTGTAGTTTTACTGACACTCTCCATTTATTTCCCTTTCCTACTAAGTACTGAATCCTTTTAGACTGAGAATTTTGTCTGGCTAGTCATTCCTATTACAATAATAATAATAACTCCTGAGGCTAGTGAAATTTTAAATCAAGGTTGAACAACATTATGACACGTGGACAGAGGTGACACACAAACATTTTCTTTGCCATGTGGCCTCTCTGCTGCTGCCATTCCTCCATTTCCACCCACATGCTTATGGCAGTGAGACTAACTGCCACTGGCAAGAGTTCAGCCTTTCCTTTTTGTCAAGTCTGTTCTCAACGCTTCCAGCCCCAGCCCTTTTCACCACCCCAAACACCTCAATGTACCTCATTTTAAAAACTGCTGACCTTAATACTAGGAGTTTTATCCCCAGTTCTAAACATCCCCAAATCAGAAATCTTTTTATTGCTCAGAACTGAGTAGCCAAGGCTTATTTTGGTTATTATCTTTAAAATATGAAGATACTCACAAGAGTTAAAAGGTGAATTAAGTACAGTGAAACCTGTGGGCACTGGAACTCTATGGGACTGCCTTGGTTTTTTTCTGGGTCTCGCAAGTTTTGCACTTTTGGCCAGATGCACTTCTTGGTCATTCTCTACTAGTGGAAAATATTTGTGTTTTCCTTCTCTGACAGGTTTCCATCTTATACAATTTCCAGATTTCACAGGTTTTACTCTACATCACTCTAGCAGTGTAGCAGAAAAGGAAAACAAAACTTTCTAGGTACGTTTGTATCACTGTCATGCTTTACGTCATATGTCCTTTCTACTCTACTAATTTCCTCACGTGAGTTGAGACTGTTTGACTATCCCTGTATATTGTGTAGAAATCAAAGTACTTATCTGTATATTTCTGGTTCACTATCTGTCTTTTCTAATTAGCCATCCTTCCCCACCAAGTTTGCAAAACAGGAAATGTTTGTATATTTCATGTTCATGGCAGTTTGACATATTTCATGGTGTGAAGCAGGGATAAAGTACACGTATGTTTGCCCTTGTGTTTCTCCTAGGTTCTGTTCTTGATTTAAGACAGAAGAGCCAGTGTTAAGGTGCTACTTCAGAGAATAAATTCAAGAAATCAGATAACACTGTGCCAAGGTACACTTTCTAGATGCTAAGCACCAATTGGCCCTCCAGAGAATGACAATATCCCTTTGATACCTCACTCCTAATAAAATCTCATTCATTAAACTCAGCTTCTCAGGAATCCTTATAGCTCATATTCAAGAAATAGCTATAGTGTATGGTTTCCATTATATGCCCAAACTTATAGTTGGGCTCAAAGGTTGGCTAATTGTGACTAGAACTCTCTGCTAGACTGCTAGCTCAGCACCTTGTCATGTAGTTTCTGGTCTTGAGGTGAAGGAAAATGTTCTTTCTGCATGGACAATTCAGCAGTTGAACATACGAGGGGACTTCAAAAAACTAATGGGAAAATTCCATTATCTTTTCCTTCCATTTTTTCATGTAATTTTTGATGCCCCCTTGTACTTAATCAACAAGCAAAGCCAGTATATGGAGGTCTGTCAGAAGCATCAAATGGCCACAAACCTCAGTGGTAAAAGACTGGATAATTTGTGTTTTACAAATGAATAGAGTGCAAACCAGTCTATTTTGCTATTAAAAAGAAGAAAATTGCCTGACACGAAGGGAAAGCTTTTTACTAGAAGCCATTGTGCTTCAACAAAGTTGTTGTTGCTGTTCAGTGCCATCGAGTTGGTTCCGATTTATAGAGACTCTGTATAGGGTTTCCCGGGAGCATTTAGTGGGTTTGAACCACCAACCTTGTGGCCCAAACTGACCTTGTGGTCCAGCACAGTTACACATTTCCAAAGAAGACTACCTGGTAAGCATCCAGCACCGAAAGGAGTGAAAGGATATAGACTTGTAAAAGTCTAACTGCTCTATCTTTGTGTCTTCAGATCTTCAATTTAAAGAGCTAAAGAAACCAAAACGGTTAATGCATGATTAGTTATAACATTGGAGAAAAGGGGCAGGGGGTTGATAATACAAAATACTGACTTTACTTTAAAGATAATTTCTGTTTGGTCATGGGTGTGTGTTCAGACACTTTCCACTTTCTCTGGCCCCAGCTTCCTTCTGGCTCAGGCCAGCTGGAATAGGAGTGGTATAATCCACAACACAGATATCCTCTGGTGGATAATATAGCATTAACAATAATTTGAATTTGCCAGCTGGCAAAGCAAACAATTAATTTTCTGATTGAACTGCAAAGCCGTTCAATTGTTTTGGCACCAAAGGCTGAATCTGAACCCTTTACAGGAAGAGCAGAGCAGAATATAAATCTCTTCATTGGGTCTTCAATTCTGTTAGAACATGAGAATGTTAACATAATGGGGACTTAGTGTGGTCTGCAGCTGCTAAGTAACCCAGAACCAAAGTTTTATGAGACCATTCAGGTATGGGGGAGTACAGTCCATTATGAAGAAGTAATCATTGTATGTTTCTCAGTATTTTACTCACTTGCTGTTGTTGGCTTGGTTGGTTGTTTTGTAACTTTTTGTTGTGATTTGATTGAAAGTTTACAAAACAAATTGTTATTCCATTCGACAATTCATACACGTTTTGCTTTGTGGCAGTGATTGCAATCCCCACAATGTAACAGCACTCTTGCACTTCCTCCCTGTGTTTGCCGTTCCATGTGTTCTTCTTTCCTATCTTTCCTGCCTTCTGAGCATTATCCCTGGGCAAGTGATGCCCTTTTGATCTCATAGGGTTGAGAGTTCTAATGAGTGTGTGCCTCCCGGACGTTATTATTGCTCACCGAAGAGGCCTTCTGTTGTTTGGCTAGAAGTTGATCTCCAGGGGTGAGTTCAGTTCCAGGTCTGAAGGATGTCTATGTCTCAGGGTTTCCACCAGTTTCTATCAAACCAGTAAGCCTGGTCTTTTTTTTTTTTTATGATTTTGAATTTTGTTCTAGATTATTCACCCACTCTATCCAGGACTTCCTATTGTAAACCTTTTGAGAGCGCTCAGCAGTGGTATCTGGGCACCATCTAGACCTTCTGGTCTCAGAGTTGGAGGCTGGATTCATGTTGTCTTTTGGACTAATTGTTTCCCTTTGTCTTTGATTGTCTTTACTCTTCTTTGCTCCAGATGGAGAGAGACCAATAGTTGCACCTTAGCTGGCTGCTCACAAGCTTTTAAGACCCCAGTTGCTTCTCACCAAAATAAGATGTAGAACACTACCTTTGTGGATTTGGTTGGGTCTTGCTGTTGGTTTGTTCTGTTGGGTGATGAGTTGTTTGGTGTGTTGTTGTTTGTTTGTTTTTTAATAAACCCAAAGATTTGTTTAAGAGATTGAAAATTTAGAAGTTCAGTTTTTAAAATAATGGTGTTGACGGCAATGTTGCGGATTTTAAATGGCTAGTATGTTTTATATTACCAAAGTACTTAAAATGCTTAATTATGTGCCTGAAGGAGGTGGGGGAATGAAGTTACACCACCACCACCAAAGACCAAGCTTTTCAAGCAAAGATAAGCTTCAAAGCAGTGTTTGGCCTGAGAGTCAAAGCAGTGTTTGTTTGGCTTGCTGGATATCTACTTTTATGGAGAGAGCCGACCCAAGACATCTTCTCTCTCCTGCCATTGCCTAAGTGATAATCTTTAGGTAGATTTCTTTAGCAAAAGATTTTTTTTTTTCAATCCCTTATCAGTTAACCAGTTTCTGTTGATTCGGACTCATAACGACTCTCTATGTGTCAGAACAGAACTGTGTTCCATAGAGTTTTTAATAGCAGATTTTTTTGAAGTAGATCACTAGGCCTTTCTTTCCAAGACACCTCTGGATGGATCTGACCCTCCAACCATTCAGTAGTTAGTAGCCAAGCACCTTAACCATTTGTACTACCCTAGTATCTGGGTCCTGGTGTGGTGCTGCAGGATAGTGCACTGGACCACAAGGTTGGAATTTCAAACTCACCAGCAGCTCCTTGGAAACACTTTATATGGTCACTGTGAGTTAGAACCGATTCGACAGCACTTAACAACAAGAAGTATCTGGGTGGCATAAATGGTGAGACACCCCATGTGTGCAGGTTGCGAGAGGTGCCTCAAAAGACAAGCCCTAGCAGTCTGCTTCTGCACACATGGGATTACCATGATTCAGAATCAACTTGAAAGCAATCATCAAAAAGAAAGCAACAAACAAAATATGACTTAATGTGTGTGTGTGTGTATATATATATATGTATGTATATATATATATA